TATGGCTCCAGAAATATCCTCTTTACAGGCTGAGAATATCTTGAGTTCAAGTTTGAGTTGTTGGCCCCAGCCTCAAAGTAAAGAAAAAATCAGGCCCACAATGAGCTGGTGGCTTCATGACTGAACAAATATCTTGTGCCAACGCTGATTGAGTGAAACTTGCTATTTGGACATCTTTCCACCTTCCCCCAAACTCTCTCTGACTCTCTCTCACTATCTTTTTTTTTTATACAATCACACTTTAAATAGTTCCTACAAACCTCTGAATGAATGCCCCCCCCCTTTTTGCTGCATGTGCTTGTGAGGAGGCTGACATCATTCTCGGGGGCTTTGGGTTTGTTGTGATCTGGCTCGCCATAAGCTGGGCCTCCTCTCCTTTTGTGGCTGACAGAAGCCTGCCAATTAAGCAGAGTCTGGCCATTAAAAGCATCCACACATGTAGGTATAGTCTATATACCTACATGTAGGTGCAGCTTGAGCCATTAAAAAGTGTGTGCAACTAAAAATTTGGGGGCTACATGGGATAATACATTCACTGAGTCTACTGTGGTGATTTGAGAGGATGTGAGGAAAGCATATAGGCTATCTTAAACAAAAAAAGCTGTTTGTATTTTGGGTGTCTCAGCCAATTATAGGGGAATAAATGACGTCTTTGTTCCTCAGATGGAGAAAATTGAATTCTACTAAAAACAGAATAATGATAAACACTGGAATCATCATATAAGAAACCATAAAACCTAAAGAATCCTCAAAAGCGCAGGAAATTGAATGCACCATGTTGGTCTTTTTGTTTACATCCAACAGTCTCATCCTCTCTATTTCTTATTTTTCTTTCTATCAAAGTCTCCCCAACATAATGTCCCATGCTGTAGTCAGACACCACTAAAGCTGAATCAAGACCCCCAAGCAAAGTGCAAAGCTTTTAAGCCCATCACTTGTGCTTTGTCACATTGTTTTTGAGTAGCCAGTGTAGCTATAGAAGGTGTTTCACGCGTTTTTGGTGCTGGTTTATTTATTTTTTCCCTCCTCATGCTGACTCTTGATTCACATCCCACATGGAAACCCTATCTTGGACGTCGCGTGTGTGTGCATTTTTTTCCTGATGTATTTTCCTGCACCTGAATGCGTAACGAGACGCAAATCCATGGCACAGCTATGACTCGCAGACGTCAACGGTGTCCAAGCGGACTTGAAGGGGACACGAATCTAGTGCGTCGCGCTGTGAAGGTCTGAGCCTCATTCATCATGTGATTGTCTGAGTACATAAGGCCTGTGTGTTGTGTCTGGGCCCTTCGTCTGTGCGCCGTCACACACGTTTGGAAAACCAGGAAATACTGCGCAGAAATAAAAAAAACAAGACTGAAAACCAGATCACAAGCACTCTGGAAAAAACCACAACCACCAGGAATAAATCCCTGTCGAATCTAATAAAGGCTTAACTGTGAGAACGTATAGATTGACATTGATAAAAACCTATTTTTCCATAAGAATTCTCTGAGGCTGAACACTTGGACACCAGTGTGGCCAAACTGGACAGCGTGACAGTCATGAAAGAAAACACAGCTTTTAGTGGCACAGAATTGGAACCCTGACTTTGTTTTTTGATTTAAATCAAACTCAGCACCATCTTTAACTAAAATTAGCCTCATCCCAAAGAATCCTGGGATTTCTTTCCCCCTCTTTTTCAGACAAAGCACAAACCACTGAAACCCTTGCATCATACAATCCAACAAGTCGAAAGGCGAAGAAGAAACAGTCGAGTTTAGAGAATAATAATTATAATAAAAATCAAGTAAACACAACAATGAGAACCTAACATATTGCTTAGGGCTGGTAGCTTATTGTAAAAAACAACTTTTTTAAGCGTAAATCCACGAGCGGTGTCTCACAGTCCCGTGTGCGTGAGGCTCCAAGAGGGGGCAGATCTTGTAGGTTTTTCCTCCATCAAACTTCAAAACAAAGCAGGAATGTATATCCATTCACAGGAGAAAAAGAAGAAGGGATGAGGGGGAGCTGGATGAAAAATACAGACCGACAAAAGTTTGGATCAGTTCTGGTGCGCTCACGTTAAGACTCTGGCTACGATTGTGTTGGAGATGGACACCGTGGTGGGGGCTTTTGTTGTTTTGCTTGTTTTTTTTTTTAAACCCTTAGTATTTCCTCGTTCTCTGAGTGTGTGGGGGAGGGAGAATGTGGACGCCTGGCTGCCACCTCCACACGGGGTGGGACGGAGGGGGAGGCCCGGGGCCCCTCAGCGAGTTCAGGGAGTAAGCGGGGCACAAATCCCCGTCGCTGCCAACAACCAGCGACGGCGGGGAGGGGAAATTCGCCATCAGGCTGAAAGGCATTTTTGCGGCCGGTGCTGCGGTGCTGGCGCTGCTGCTGCGTTTGCGTCTGCTTGGTAAATCCTCCGTGGACACCTCCTGACGAGAAGAGGAAGAGGAGCATGATGATGATGAAGAAGAAGAGGATGAAGAGGAGGAGAAAAAAGAAGAAGAGAGGGCAGCCTTGTTGACCCTGGGCACGTTTTGTTTTGTTTGTGTCCTGGAAACTCGGGGCTTCTTGTTCCCCAGCACCGCAGCCTTCCAGGTTTTGTGTCTGTGCTCCCCTTCCTCGACGCACGGTGCGTCCTGGGTGCTGCTGCATTCCTGAGGGCCACATGGGGACCTGGGGGTCACATCAGGTCTCTTATCTGTGGCTTTAATCCCACTGTTGAAAAAGTCCCCTTGCTTGATGATGGCACTGCTGATATGCAGGCCATAGCTGCTCTCCGCTTTATTGTCTCCTTTACATTTGACTACAGAGGCCTGGCTCTGGTATTCATATTCATCACAGCTTTCCTCCACTTTAACTTTCACATTGTGGAGGTTGAAGGGAGGTGTCCTGACCGCCCTGCCGCTGTCCGAATGAGGGGAAGCGGTCACAGGGGCCTCCTCTGTCTCGGTCTTTATTTTCCTCAGTGGGGTTGGCAGTTTTAAGGTGGTGACTTTCGCCTCCCTTTTATCGGCACATTTGGGAAACATGTCCTGGTCACACTGTGCGCTCAGTCCCGGGGGGCATTTGATGGGATACCCCGGTGTCCTGCGTGTGGGGTGAAAGGCCTTGCTCCGGGTGTGTCCCGGTGAATAGGAGGGCAGCTCAACCTCAGGATCAGCATCACACGCCGTTTCCCTTTTGAAGCCTTCGCCCACAGCTGAGTTAAATTTTGGTGGCTGTATGGGTCCCAGGTCCTTTCTGGATTCACTGCAGATAAATTCACATTTTTGCCTTTTCTCCTGTCTGCTGTCTCCTGTGAGAGAGGGAGCAACATGACCCAGAGTCCTGAGCTGCTTATCGTTGTTGTAGTGAAAAGTGGGCTGCAGGACCAAAGGTGCTTTACTAGTGGTGACGCTTTTGGCGAGAGACCCAACCCGGGCGCGTCTGAACCGGATGCTCTGCACCGAGACCCGGCTCGAAACCGAGCTGGAGTCGGACTCAGAGGAGCTCCCCTCTTCTTCTGAGCTGACCTCTGAACTCTCCGACTGGGTGTCATCCTCATCCTCTTCTTCTTCCTCCTCCGAGCTCCCGGAGTTGCTGGTAGTGGAGAAGCCCGACCCAAAATCCGAGTCGGGGTACGCCCGGTCCGAGTAGGTGCTGGACTCGGTGTCGCTGCTGTAGCTCTCCGGAAAAGTCTGCTCCTGGTGGTGGTGGTGATGCTGGTGGTGGTGATGTTGCTGGGGTCTGGGGTGGACGTAGAAATCCTGGCCGAGGTGGAAAGCACCGAAAGAGGTCCCGTGGCTGCCGGTTGGTTTGGGCTGCACGAGCAGCACCGGCGGTACGTGGTGGTGCGCGTGCCTGCTCCTGCTCCACGAGTGCCTCGCGCTGTCCTTGCCGCCGCCCCCCTCGCGCCTCCTCTTCCTCTTGTGAAGTAGGTCGCCGGCGGAGCGCGAGAGCCTGGACTGAGCAGCTATGGCGGACTGGAGCACCACGGGCTGCCGGCTCACCGCGCTTCGGTAAAACGAGTGCCTTTGGCTCAAAGTAACGCAGTTCCCTGTTATTTTAGCTGTTTCATAGTTTTTAAAGTGTTTGTGAACGGACTTAGTCGCCGCACGGAAATCCCGTCCATGGGTTTTGTGGTAAAATTGAGGTAGTTTGGAGTCGGTAAGGCAGGGAGCCAGCTCTCTTCGCCTGGCCGCCTTGCTGTGGAGCGCGAGAGTCTCCGGGACGCCGTGCAAACTGAACCAAACTTTCTCCCTCCACAGCTCGGCGGCGTCGGCGCGGAGCAGCCCCGGGGACTCGTCGACATCCCCGGTGGGAAGCGGTGCTTTCGCTCTCCTTTTGTTGGACTTCAACACCCGCTCCGTCTTGCAGGAGAAGTACAGAGCCTCCACGTCCTCCCGCGATATCAGCGTGCACTTCGCGGCGTGGAAAGCTATTGAGTTTATTGCCTTGAGCTTGCGCAGCTCCTCCAGGTCGCAGTGGTGCTTCTTCACGTTCAAGTGGTCCATGCGCTTGTGCACCGTGGTCCGAGGGATGTTCTTCAGCAGGTCGGTGAAGACCTGGGACAATGCAAACATTTGCTTGCCTTGGATGAGCAGGTATCCCAGTCTCACCCCTTGCATTTCCTCAAACCCATACTCCAGGTCTCCCATGTTTCATATAACAGCTCCAATGTGTTTAATCCATGTACAGTCACTCTCAGTAATGCTGTGGATTTACGCGTAAATGGCATGGGGGTCGTGAGCTCAAGACATCCTGCTCATACCTTTAATCCATCCACACTGCTGCTGCTGCTGCGTCATGAAAATGTAAACTTTGACATGCGGAGTTAAAAGGAGCTGCCGGTGTCTCATAGGTCGAACGAGCCGACAGCATCCACTCGTCGCCTCTTGCCCCGCACCGGCATGGTGGAGGAATGCCGACCCAAGGATGCGTCCACCAAGCCGGGGGGCTGCTCCTCTGCTACCTGCCTCTGCAGCCGGCTCCACTCCCCTCTGGTCGGCAGCAGGACGGAGGGGTAGGTGTACACCACTGCCTCAGCCAGAGGGATAAAATAGGGAGAGAGGAGAGTAAGAGAGAGAAGAGGGAGGGAGGGAGCTGTGAGGGTGGAGGGGAGGGAGAAAAGAGAGAGAGAGAGAGACAGAGAGAAAGGGAATAACAGCTAAAATGCAGCTGCTATTCTGGCTGCTGGTTGAGCCACAAATAAAATGACACGGAGGGGAGGTGCGCCAGTCTGGAGACACCTTCATCAATTAATGCCCCCGAAGTAGACGCCCATTGGACGATGCTGACAGGTGATGCAATAAAAATGGATACCCCCACCACCACCCCTACACACACACACACACACAGAGAGAGAGAGAAACACTCCACTACAATAGTTCACAATTGTGCCAACACTCTCCGCTGTTTAAGTAAATGATGCAGTTATTGTTCATACATCAAGAGCTAATAATAAAATAAGACCTGGTAATAAAATAAAATCACCCCAGTTATTTGCGTGTGAAGTAAAGAAGAGCCTGCAAAGTGTCGTGATTATAGACTGGAGTGTGTTTTTGCTGTTATTCCCCTTTGGTCCACATCAGCATGCATGCAGGTCGTGCACGGTCCTGTATGCAGTGGGGTTGCATATGCTGGTGAAATGCACGTTCCACGTATTTCAGACGGTTCCGTGTGTGTGTGTGTGTGTGTGTGTGTGTGTGTGTGTGTTTGAAGTCAGCACCGTTTAAAACAAAGATATTTGCTTTTACACTCGGGAGCTGCTTTTCCACGTCCACGCTGCTGTTGTTCCTTTGAACAAGACTCCAACTCTTCTTCTGTAGTTTTCTCCATATAAATTCTTCCTCGTTGGTTGCCTATACACTGACCTACATACAGACTATGTAGGTCTATTTGTCTGGCTACACCATAATGAATTAATTCGAATTCGCAACGTTTTTTTTCACCACCTTTTCCCTTTACATAATTTATCTCGTGTGTAAAATAATTCGAGGCATGCTGTATAATTCAGGGTGTTGCCCTGCTAATTTATATTTACGCATATAATTCTTATAGTTGGGATTTAAATAGAAGTGTCAATACAGCCAAATAAATTAAGTTAATGTAAATTTAGTGGAGTCATTCTAAAGCGTTAAATCCATGTTAACCCCCCACCCCCCTACCCCACCCTGGTAAAACCATGAGAACAGGGATTGGACCAAACTAAATGTGCAGAGTCAGGGTTGCTTTTCCCACATGATTTCCAAGAAAATGTGAGCACACATCCAATCAGGAGTTGTCGGTTAAATTTAAATTTCTAATTCGACATCTTGGAGCGATAATTAGAAAAGACATCACACAATATATTATATTATATATGAAATTTATATCTTAATGATATTATGAATTTGGGTGTTGTTACTATTAAGGTGTTGCAACACGGAGGGACTAGGAGCCTGCAGAGGTTATTGTGGGATAACTGAACATGTCACTCTGCATGTGGGCGAATTTATTTCTAGGAATCTGTGTGTGTGCGTGTGTGTGCGTGTGTGTGTGCGTGTACCTTGTGCATCATCAGAAAATTTACACGTGAACAGGACACACGCACACACGAACACACAAGCATGATTTCCACGGGAAATGCAAGTGTGAACATACAAATACAGATACACAAAAAGACACGCGCAATCTGAACGCACGGGCACACACACTCACGCAAAGACAAGCAAGATTTTCACGGAACATGCACGTGCAAACACACGCACAAGCATGACACATAAGTACACAAAGAAAGACACGCGCAATCTGAACGCACGCGCACATCATATCGACACGCGCACGCGCACACACGAAGACAGTATTTGAAGGCACGCGCACACCTTACTGACACGCACGCACACATACAAAGGCAGAATTGAATGCACGCGCAAACTACATTGAAATACGCATGCACACACGCACATAAAGGGAAAATTACGCGTAATTCGAACACACGCACACATACACCATATTGACACACGCACACACACATTCACACAGGCTACGCGGACACGCAGAGGAACCACAGGCTGAGGGCACCACCCACACCGCTGTCTAAATAATATGACTGTCTCCTATATAACATAGACTAATTGTTTGAATTAGCAGTAAGACTACGGAAGCCTGCTTCGACTGATTATTGTGTTTCGCCTCTGAGCCACATTTTCTCAGCGTTATGTTCCGTCTTCATTCTCCATATAAAACACGTGAATCCCCTGTGACCAGAGACTGGGCCAAAACAAAGACATGGACACGCCCATCTCCACAAGACGATTTACTCATTTGATTTCTTATTTGTTTACCTCAGTGTTGCATACACGCAGGCCAAGCCTACATTACAGCTCCTCACTGCAGAAACATCCTTAAAATACAAATCCCTAAAATGCTCCAATGAATGTGGATCAAACATTTTTTTCACTTTTTTATGGTTTACACTTTTTATGGTTAAGCTTGTAAATTAGAGTGTAACGTTTGTGTATGGAGCCATTGAGATATTTAAAAGGACTTACTTTGTACGAGTTTACTTTATATAAGCCATGAAAGCCTGTTTCGCACTGCACAAGTTGCTTGTGGACATTTAGAGTTAGACTCAGTTCGTGCGTGTGTTTTGTGTGCGTAAATATCAGTGTATGCGAGTCTTATGCACTATCCAATCACTTTATTTGTCCCCATGTCCTGTATATCTCTGAGTATCTGACCTCCTCCACCGTTTTGCATACAACCTGCTCGGTTTGTAGCAAGACTCGCCTCTCACGCACTGCTCCGTGCACGCACATGGCGCGGAGCACGTGGGGTTTCACGGCAGCTCACCGAAGGTCTACATCCCCCGAGGGAGTATAACTCCCGTGTAGTCACCGTGCACTGCAGGAACACACAGTCGAGGCAGTGCTTCCTCACTGCGTCCTGTCCACTGCACGTCTTACACCACTCTATGAATCTGGGTTTACACACAATACATAACCAACTCATTGTTTTCTCTGACCACATCGAGTATAGCTGCACCCAAGGAAGACACTCTAAACCAATGTAAACTTATTTTAGCCCATTCTCTGCTCATCTGAATTCTGCATTCATCCAAACTGACCGTTCATTTTATGCAATTTGCGTAAATTCCGCAGTAATGACAATTGCAGACATTGTGGACAAAGGCTTATTCTCTACAGGCAACTGTCGTTGAGGTAGATTATAGCCTAATGACAATATTAATAAATTCGTATAACCTTCTTCATGGTTTTGTCAAACATGTCTCTCAAAAGTAGCCTGTTCGGATCCATCATCTATCTTTCTAGTTTTGTTTTCTCCCACACTGGTTCATACACACAAATGCCCCATGCTGGTTCTGTTATCATTGTTTTTTTAAATTCATGCCATCATCGTATCTCATGGTCTGAAACAATGGCAAAATCATGTCATAATTTATGAATAAAAATAACCGTGTGTATTTACATATATTTGATTATTCCCAATTAAGATCGGGCCCTCTTTGTTATGTAGATTTTGAGATACGCCAGATGCCACAGGGCACTTATTCCCAATTCCCTCCTCCAGTCTCTCCCTCTCTGTCCTGCGCCTGGATGATGGCCGGATCCGGAGGGGAGGAGACGATGCTGAGCGGCCGAGAGAGAGACCTCAAGCACGGGGTAGGTTTCCTGCAACAGCCCGCTGAGTGCTGGTGATGCAGGTGAAACAACCTCGGACGAGCAGAGCTTGGACTTTGTAGGTTTAAACCAAGTGGTGGATATTCAGTCCGCTTGATTTGTTGCCTGACCGAAGTTACAGTGCAGGGTAGAAATTCACTTTAATCTGGGGGATATGTTCACGGACACGAGTTAAGCCTGCGTCAGAGCCATTATAATTTAAGTTCAAGATAACATGTAATACAATAATCCTTAATGTAGCCCACATAGAATCAAATAAGTCAAACAAATAGTACATTTAGTAAAAAGGAGTCAATTATGTATAAATCTTATATAACTTTTCTTTTTCCACTCCTGAAAGTTCCACTTCAATAAAGTTATATTCATTCATTAAAACAGGCAGGGGCTTGGAAAGAGTGCTCGTCGGTTAACGGTAAGGAGAAACACACACACACAAACACACACAAATAAACTAAATCTTTTGATGAAGGAATAAATACAAACTTTTAATATACCTATAATTATACGAGATCTGCATCTCCAGCACGTGCAAGCACTCACACACACACATACACGATCCGTTTTTGTGCAGTGTAACCAACATTTTAACTGGAGTGAATTTATTAATAAAGTAAAATGAAGAGTAAACCAGACCATGTAGTTCTTAATTTCTTTATGAAATGTCTATCTAAATGGACAAAGTCAATTCCAATAAAACAAACCACACACACTTTACGCAGTAGCAACGTGGAAACCCAGTTTCTTTCAAGTTTATTTAACTTGTTCATCTGATGAATTTCATACATTTTTATGAGCTCGCTGGCCGTGTAGGAAAAAAAAGTCTTTCGGTTCTTCCAGTTCTCCAACACTCATCAAACCAAACGTGGTCCATTTCTGCTCCTGCAGCCCCGCGGCTCGTTTGTGCAGTGAGTTTTATGGAGACACTTGGTCAAGGAGGCGCAGGCTCTCTCTTGTAAGAGCATTTAGACTTTTTATGACACAAACCCACTGGCCCATGCCAAAACAATGAATTCCTCTCTCTCTCCACCCCCCAGCAGCCCTGCAGAATGTGATTTTACATGCAATCCGAGCCTGAAGTGTGTGCGGACAGTGGTGGGGGGAGGGGCTCTCTTCACCTTTCACCCCGCCGTGTTGGAACTGTTTGTATTTTTTTCCTTCTTCTTCTTCTCTCGAATGTGGTTTAACCAAATGATCACGATGGATTGGAAGCGTTGGATTGTTCAGGTCATTTTCACTGAGTGCAGCTTTTCCACATTTCACACTTTTCCCACATCAGGAGTCTATGATTCAAGATTCAAAGATCACATTACACTCAGGTACAATGGAATTGTAAGAGGCTTCTCTCTTATCATTTTGATCTTGAAATAAGAGGCTTCTCTTTCACAATATTCGCCTGACATATATAGAAATAAAAGCATGAAAAAAAGCAACAGCACAAAACCCAGAGAAAGATGTGCAGAATATATAGAGATAAAATATAGAAATAAATATATATCTATAAAGCTGTGTATTGTAGCTATACGGCTGGACGATATGGTAAAAAATTGAATCAAGATTAAAAAAAATTCATTTTAGGTGATATCAGTTGTTTGTCAGGATAAATGTCAGTTTATATTTTTTTGTGAAGAACCTTGTAACTTGTCAAGTTTGTGATTAATATGTATTTTAAATTTAAAGGCTGGATTTTGCTCTTGCGTGAAAGTTGTGGTTTTAAACTCTTCTTTATGAGCGGAAAATGAAACACACTTGATAAATCTGAGGTAGATCACTTATGTGTTACACCACCTGTGTTTGCACAACGCATGAGAAATATATTGCTATCTATTGAACCTTTGTTATTGCTATTGATGAAAATGACATTGCAATAGTTATTGATTATTTTATTGCTCAGTCATATATAGCCCACTGCCTGAATAATTAACACTCATTTAAATGTAATGATGCTTTGAGGTAAGAGCAAGTGAATAATCTTGCAATCTTGTAATAATCTTAACTTAAAACTTATTGCATTAGTTGTATTTGTGCAGCAGGGAGAAGATGTGACTCGTAATAACACACAACTGACACAACAATTCAGACATGTTTGAATCCGATGGGCTTTTGTACACAGGAAAAAAGTTGTGTAAGTGTATCTGTGAAACACTGTAAATAAAAGCTTGAAGAAAAATAGGCTGAATATGCTGAGTATTTCACCGTGTGAAAATCACACGCACATCAAGCGACAAATTTTCCTGAACTTAACACATGTACATGCGTACTGTACATACAATGGGATAGTTTTTATTTAACCCATACAAGTAAAATGTGCAGGGCCAATTAATGAACTGATTTGGGGGAAAAAAGGCTTCAAAATAAAAGCCCTTTACTTACCTGTCAGCAGTTATTTGTTGAAGTACAGTCTGTGAAAACAATCCTGTCAGACTGCTTAAGTTTTATGTTGAGTTCCCCATGCAGGCGCACACACGCCCACACACACACACACATACACACGTTTAAAGAGAAAACTTGCCGCTTGCTGTGCACATGCTTTATGCTACACCCTATTTTCTTTGAAATGTCATAAAGAATAGCTCATGTAGCAAAGGAGTTTGTGAGACAATCTATAGAACAACACTTCATGCAGTGCTTTAACATAAGATAAAGATGCAACTTGCATATGAGCACAAAGACCACAAAACTTCCCCTGCCAATACAAACATGCCCAGGACTCAACTGTGAGGGTCCTCTGACCTTTTACATTTAAAATGCTGTGAGGCAATATTTCTAACAATTAAATGAAAACCAAAGACACAAGCACAGAGGAGACCACTCCACTGAAAAGCAAATTAAACTTGTTTTCCACACTTTCTATAGTTCTTAAAATTTGTGTACACTGGTAAATCTGTGAAATGAGAATGGTCACAATGAAATGTGTATTTCAGGAGGTTTTTTCAATATTTTTGTTTATTTCTGCTGCCTTGCGAAGTCAAAACATTCTATTGTACATCACTGAAGATGATATCAGTCACTGAACCAGGCACGCTACTGTGTAGAACACAGAGCCAACATTTTTGAAAATCCCTGCAGTCGCCTCTGACATACTCCCAGGCCTGTATGTTATTTGCATGTTACAAAAATAATGTGCATGTGTCCAGTAGGTATCAATACAGATCTTTTATGTGGCTGAGACAAGACCGCTTATTTTCCAAACAGATCCAGGCCAAAGGCAGAAACACTGCTTCAGTGGATTTAAGAGAACCAAATCCAAGCACTAACAGATGGACATGTATGACCAACAGAGCTCTAACAGACAGAGAAGACTGTATGGTTATAACATACCTTGAATTATATAAAAGCTATATGAGTGCTGTATGTACTTTGAGGTCAGCACTAGTAAGTGGGAGCAGACAGTGTTGCTGCAATTTTGCGTTTCAGAGAAAGCTTCTCTCTGACAACCTGAGGAACATTATACATGATTCGTGCAGACTTTGACTTAATCAAGTGCAAGTTGTGAAAATCATTTGCTATTTTCAGTGTTTCAGTAGCTATATGGGCCCCTCCACAACCGCTGCTCCCTCCTTCGCCTCCCTTTGTTCTCTCCAGCTCTAATAGGTTTTCCCCTGCCACACACAATTCACTTTTTTTTTCTCCCCAACTCCCCTTCCCTACCCCCCCACGCCCCCTTTTAGTGCAGTGCCCAGTGTCGACTGGAGCATTTGAGCAATTTGAAATTAAAGCAAACAATGGGCAGGCACTCCCAGGGACCTCTCGCTCACCATATTACACGGAGGACGCTCGTGTGCTCTTGCGCATTATTGGCAAGTCATTACGTTTCTCTGGAAACCAAGAGCGGGAGCTCGCTCAGAGGAATCGGTGATGCAAGCAGCAGCTGAGTGCTTGGAATAGTGTGTGCGTGTGTTCAGGAACATCCTTGGCAACAGCATGGGGATGCTGTCAAAACAAAACTGTATATTGACAGCTCTGATTAAGGCTCCTCAAAGCCAATTAAATATATATTTTTGAAAATAAATGTATTCATTGTACAATGCAAAGTTGTCTCAGTGACTTCACACTCATTAGGTCTTTTACTGTTTATAATCTTATGCCATTTTTAATCATAATGAAATGGCATGTTCCAGCACAAGCTGTAAGCAAAGATTCAAGTTTATATAACATTATAATGATAGCTCTCATTGACTTTAAAGCTTTAAAATGTATATAAAAAGAAGCTGCTTTTGTATTTGTGTGCTTTAACACATCATTAATATCATGTTATTATCATCAAGTCATAGTCATGTTGTTGTTTTGGATGAGTTTGATGCATTGAAAGATCAACAACTCTGACTTCTAAAGGATTGTACAAACATGATAACATATTAAAAAAAACATACTGTGTTACAATAGATTATTATTAAGCCTGCAGCATTATCATAATTATACACAGTCTGGAGTGACAGTGCAACAAACGGCCTTTTAAATGTAGGAAATTTCATATAAAAAGTCATAAAAACAACTAATTCTTTGATTGGAAAGGCAAGCCTACAGGGATATCTCCCAGGCCTGTGTGTCTTGTTCTGCATTTTTTTCAGCTGTTACCTTTGCTATGCATTAGCCACACTAATAAAGGCATTTTAATTTCTACAGCAAGAGTGTATTGGTTTATTTAATATTTATGAATTTAATTTTGTTTGTTTGTTCTATATGAACCATATCTCATTTCTGATTATTCTGCCATTTAGTTCCTTGATTAATGATATATATTTCAGTTTCTTATAGTTAGTTCATTGTGTTTGTATTGTATTCTTTACTTATTTATTACTTGTAATAAGTCTGTATCACTATTCCCTCTTTGTTGATGTAACATGGTAAATTTCCCCATAGCAGGTCTAAGAAAGGACAATTTTATCTCATCTCATCTTAAACCAGATAATGTTAGTGTTACAGTTTTTTGATTACTGAATCTCAATTTACTTTTCGGCGATAAATTAATGGACTAATAGACTAATGATTTCTGATTTATCATCTAATTGTTTTGAACAAGTTTAATAAGATGCAATAAAACATCTACAGGCCTGACTTGTAAGGATCCTTGAGTAGATGTTTTTACAATTGTTTAAATTATATATTAGTTTTTATTCCATTCATATTTTTGTTAATATCTCCCACAATTATTGCATGCTACCCTTTATTACTTTGCTGATGTCTATTTTTGACTGCCCTCGTGCTGCTGCTGATCAGATGATCTAGTATTATCTTAAACACGATGAAAAACATTCTACACTAAATTTAGATGGTAGCCCTGAATTAAAAAAATCATGCATGATGCAAACCCTTAAATGAACACCACTAAGATTACACAAGTATTGTCCACAGAGTCCCACAGATGGAGGATTAGCACCCCTGCTGTAAACAAATGTAAAACACTGCAGCAGAACACTGTGTGACTCTCAGTACCTCTGACTTCTCAGCTTAATGTTGTCAGAGTGAAGTGAGCTCTCTCTGCTGCAAACTTTCAAACCACCTCCGCTACGTGACTCCAACACGGAAGCCTCGGCGAGCCAATCACGTCGCGGCTGTATTCCTGTCAGAGGGCACGCACGCAACACGGGCCTTGCGTCGTGACGCACTTCCGGTCCTCTCCGAGGTTCCCCCTCTGTGCTCTTCACCGTCGCGCCGTGAACTGGATGTTTTGGTGAAAAATTACGGTGTCGAAAAGCGACGTGAACACGTTTTACACATGACGTTCGAAACGAGCGGGACCTAAAGCGGCGCGGCGGCGGGAAGAGGCGCGCGTGCGGCGACGGTTTCCGCTCAACTCGACATCACGTATCCCTCCGCATGTCCGCTTTCTTCGTAGATGGTCTCCGGCGAGCGTGTGTCTGGCGGCGGACGACGAGTTCTCGACGTGTAACATGAAGGAGATGATTGGCGGTTGCTGCGTGTGCTCCGACGAGAGGGGCTGGGCGGAAAACCCGCTGGTGTACTGCGACGGACACGGCTGCAACGTAGCCGTGCACCAAGGTAAGATGCGCTGTTAGCTCCTGCTGCTAGCTGCTAGCCGTTAGCCCACGGGAGCAGTTAGCGTTGTCTCGTCGCAACGTTATGGTGCTGCTCCGTGTGTGTGGATCCTCCGCCCCCGCCAGGCTGAGGTCAGGCTACGCTCAGGCGGCGAGGCGGTCCACTGATTCGGGTTGGGAGATAATCCGCCATGGGCGACGTTTGCTAGCTAGTTTCTTAGCGTAAAATCTGGCTACGAATCCTAGCAAGAGTGTTTTTCTATGAGAAGCTGTCATGTGGGATACAGGCAAGGAGAAATACTCCTGTCTGAAGGTGTAAACATTAGATTTTTAAATAAATGATTCCACACACAGACACAAGTACAAGCTACAACCAGTGGAAACGTATTCAAACGTTGCTGTTTATGTTGCAAGGCAAATGCTTGGAGCATGTCAGGCAGTAAAACATTGATTTCCAATGGCTGCATGTTAGCTTGTAGTGTGGTTACTGTGAGCCAGCGCTTACCCAAGATGACTCGTGTGATGACGTCCTCTGTTTACAAATTTAACAGCTGGCCTTGTGACCGTTTGGCAAACACAGCAGGAGACTGCAAACTATTTGAAATATCAGCAGCTCTGAAGCCATACACATGCACGTGAGTGTGTTTGCACTTGCAGCACGTTTTGTTTGTTTGTGTTTGGACTGTTAACTAAGAGCACGTCTCTGAAAGCCGAATTGGTGCATACATGGTTGTACTAAAATCTAATCACATGTTAAATCTCTGCTTGTCTTTGTTGGTTTAAAGTGGCTGAAGTGAACCCCAGGCGGTAATGTGAGCTGCTATGTTATTATTAAGTGCACAGTTGTGCCAAGTAGTGTTATATTTATTTCAGTGTTAAGGTTGCATCATATTCTCGAAGCCTTAGCTTGTCAGGCCTTGTGATTTTTCACTTTGCTTCCCATTTTGAGACTGGGGAAAGAAGTAGACAGGTAATTATTTTAGCGAAGTAAGCAATGTATGCCTCACCCTGCTCTCACAAGAACTGTGCACAATAGTAGTGGATAAGGATTGAAAGCTACAGTAAGGTGTTTGATGTTTGGGTTACCAGACCATAGATCATATCGGAACATTCACCCTCTGTTCATATCTAGTCAGTGATCAAATGTGGTCTGGTTACATTTCTTTGGTTTAAAACCATGCAGTTAATTTTATTATTAATTTCATGTGCAGTGCTTTACAAAAACACCCACTGATATAAGATTGGAAATATGCACAAATCACTTCTTCCTACATTAAATTATTGGTTGCAGACAAGCTTCACTATGTTAGTTGTAAAGAAGCAGGGATTTGATTCAGATAAGCGACAGCACTCTGTTGTGTCGACTTGTCCTGATCTGCCCCTCAACCAAATGTATGACATCATCTGCTTAAATAAAACTAATATGAGGTCATGTGACAACATCTGCATTTAATGAATCAGTGTAATAGAGTGTCAGTTTCTTTTCACATTGCACTGTGAAACAAAAGTATCTATCAGCCACTCTGTAAAAGAGCTTTTATTGTACTTTGTAGTATTTAAAGTTTAGTATTTTCCCCTGTGCACACTATTATACCCTGTTAGAATATATTTTATGTGACTGAGGTACAGATTGGGTACATATATACACATATACCCAGCAATTATGAATACGTGCTACAAAGGTTATAATATGTTTACAGTTAGCACGACCTTTAGCACATCTCTTCAGTTTTCTGATAATAGCATGTCACCTGACCAGCCCTCCTCTGAATCTTAGAGAAAAATGTTTCAAATATCAAAAGAGTGTTCACATACTGTATGTGCCATTTGTTCGCATGACAATTAATAAAAATCACTTTTATTAAAGTTACTGCTCGAGCTAGCCATTATTAGTGAATAAGGTATGCAATATCCTAGCTAATGCTTGATTGTTTTGTCTGCATGTCTGGTCACCATTTTCTCCACTTGAACTCGGTAACCTTTGGGTATTTTTCAAAAATCTGGATTCTGGCTTTGCATTTCATTGGATTATTAGCTCTGGTCGGATCAGAGATAATCAGAAAATGTGTCGAGCTAAGCTCTTTCGAGTAGATGCAGCACAGGCAACTTCACCTTGAAGGCTAAGTCTTAGAAGAGTCAATGGAAGCAGTTTTTAACTTTAGGTAAAGACAGTGTGTTTTGCATCTTGGAAAATGTATTGTTAGTTAATGCAGTGGGACATTAAGGGTACTTTCACATTCACACAGCATTGACCTCAATAAAAACTTAAAGGAGACACATTATGCTCATTTGGACTTTGCAGAATGTTTTCATACAGAAAAAACCTAAATAACACACTAGAGTCAACAACTAAAAAGCATAATATGTATGTTTCCTTGAACTTTTAACAGCCCCTTTGAAATCCAGCTGTTTCTGCAGCCGACAACCGCTCCTTGACCTTTCTCATGGAAATATGTGGGGGAGGTCAAACAATTTATGAATGGTTTAACCCGTTTGTAGAGCATATGTTTATCATTGATGCCTCTATATGTTGGTATTAACAATGCATTACCAAGTATTCTGCCATTGTCCTGGGGGCTTAAAATATTTTGTAGCACAGGCAAACCATGTCAGGTGTCAGCGGAGAGATATATAAAACAACAGCAGTGATTTCAACAGTCTGTCACATCAAAGCTTTGCTCCAACCACAAATCTGCCTCCTGTCACATGTGAAAAAAGATATCTGTACAGATGTTGTTCAGCTTTGTTTTCTAGCTGCATTTGTCAACATGTATTCATTATCACTGTGTAATGGCATTCTGTGGTACAGAATACAGTTTTTGTTGTGGTTGTGATTTCCCTCTGTAATAGTCATCTTCGTCTCTCCTCAGCCTGCTATGGCATTGTTCAGGTGCCCACTGGTCCTTGGTTCTGTAGAAAGTGTGAATCTCAAGAGAGAGCAGCCCGTGTGGTGAGTCACAGTCTTTCTATCTATTCATCATTTATGAGTGAACTGGAATAACAGATCTCTACCAGAAAAATGGTGGACCTTGTGATCTTTAATTTTACAAATATTCATAAATACACCATGAAAACAGTAAAAGATTGGGTCTTGTATGATCAGTGGGTCTCTTTAAAGAGCTTGAAATAAACAAGCATTACTGCTTACTGGTTATAAGTTGTCCATCACTGTGACTGTTGATGTGTTGGACACTGCCAGTTGAAGGACTCAAAACCAAATTGTTTAAAAAAAGAAATCAAAGAGGGAATTGTAGTGTACTAAAATTATATGGCTAATATAAATAAATGTGATGGTCAGTTTGTGTGAAGAGTGACAGACAAACACACACACACACACCCAGTGTGATCCGGTGTGTATGTGTGGGGGCATAAAATAATTGTTCATTAATCATAATCCAGGAAAAAGTTTAAAGTATCTATGATATTGATTTAAAGTCATATCATCCAGCCCTATGAAGGAATTAATATCAATACAAATATTTTATACCCTATCTATTTCAGTTCTGCCTCTCCAGCACATATACACACGCACTGCTTTTGACCAACACAAAAACATTTTTTAGTTTGTAAATGAAAAGTTCAGCTCTGATCAAAGGGAATTGAACTGCGACAGTGTTCAGCTCAAGATGTCTGATTTTTGGCCTAACTCCTGCTCAAAGTCATCTACAAAAATTTTGAAGTAACTGAAGAGTATGGTTTTATCACCTTCATAATGCAAAAAATGCACAAAGCTCAAACTTCCTCATGTAGTGTACTGACAAAAGCAAGTTCTAGCGGCCAGGTAAAACTCCCACTCTCCCAACTGAGAGGAAGTTTGTCAGGCTTGTGCAGTGTGTACTGAACAATAGCCCTCTGTTGTCTTAACATAAATATTTTTCCAAAAGGGGACAATCCAGCAAAACCTTAAACAAAGGGTGTGATGGTCTAGTTATTTGTCAGTGTCCTTGTCCATCACAATGTTTTTGTGTTGACATCACCCAACAGTTCGATAAAAGCTTGTAGTGTCAAAGGTGACTGGAGAAAAAACACTGGAGGTCTGTGCAGACTTACCTGCTGCTACCGCTTTTTGTGGTGCATCCTCCTGCACCCAGAGGATTTTCTGTGGTCTGTGCCATATCCCGCTGTCCTTTGCCTCACGTGTGCATGTTTGCTCACAGACTGTACTGTACCACTTAACTTATCACATTTCACCAAATGTTTTTTACTCCTGATTTGAAAGATCCCTTAAATATTAATATAAATGCTGTTTGATTGTGGAAAGTTTACCAACTACCATTATACCAAGCACCATTTTATTTGTGCAGCATACTATGGTATGGCAACATTAAGCCGTCTGCATCATAACACATCATAAAAGTTTTACTGCACTGGAAGGAATGAAACCTTGATATCTATAAGTGTGTGAAATGAGGTGCAGCTTGACTGAATGTAAGGGAATGGTTGGGCCTCGGCGAAGGTATGCACTATACTGACTTTCATTCCACTTTTATTAATTAATAAAATAAACAGCAGTAGTGTTCCATCTAATGTTGGATTTTGATGTGGACTGGGGTTGTTTTCCTTTCTTTTCCCTTAAAAAATCAACAAAACATGGCATTTGTCCAAGGATGCCTAAACCTCTGCATTCAACTGTATGCAGCATTTGATATGGATCAAGGAATGATCTACCTACAGACTGTCATAGAGCTTTATATGTGCACACAGGGCAAAGATTAGAATTTTAACTTGGTTTTCCTTTCACCTTCTAACCCATTTACAGGGTCTTACAAAGTATAAGTAATGGCAGAAATGTGCATGTACTACATGTGAAGGAATGTCCAGTGTAGAAAATGTCTACATGGAAGTGCCATGCTTTCTTCTGTTTGAAGGATTGTGTGCAAAGACTTGTTCATCAAGCATTCCAGGCTGGTAGTTACATTAATGTATGTGTGTGTTCTCAAAGAATCACATTGTGAGCTGGCAACTATAAGCAGAGGTCGCATTGGACTTTGTCATTGTTCATCATTTTTGATGGACAGGGTTTCAAAAATACCATCAGATCTATGGCCTTCATATCCCCCCCCCCTTCCAAACGTTACAGAGAACTTGTGGTAGCCTTCAGTTGTCATAAAAACTCAAAAGGTGTTTAGTATTTGAATATAAATGGCCCTTTCTGGTGTAAAGAAAACTACAATTCATACATTTTAGATGAAATGAACTAGTGAAAATGAGGATTATTCTACCTTAAATTTTCACCTAACTCTTACACACTGGAACTTTAAGTCAGTAGGGAATATATTCTGTATAGGTTACTCCCTCACTATAACTGGTAAAACTAGTGGTGTTGATAATGATACGCTTCCTAAATTAAATTAAATATGCATTGAGTTAAGTGCCTCAGTGTTATTTTAACGAAAGATATCTATCTTGATGAAGTAAAGACTAATGATCCATGTTTTAGTTTTCCAATTTAGCAAATAAAGTATACGTTGCTTGCCTGAATTCAGTGGTGTGAACTAAATTACACGGAGGAGTACATAAAAATCATTGGTTCATTGGGCAAGGATTTTTTTTTACACTTTTAAGAGTTAAAGAATTAAATGACAATCCATGATCATTATAGCCGCAAAGTGCTGGAGCTGGGCACATTTTATTAAGGATTTATACAACTTCACAGTAAAGGAAGTAATTGTTGTAAAGAATCAACAAAATATATTTGTTTCAGAAAAAAATATTTGAAGATGGAAGTTATTTTAGAAGATTGTGTGGTAAAATATTGGTTTTAGGAATTGGGTTAGAATTTAAGGTTACAAGGAACACGAAAGACTTTCTGTCTTAGAGACCACACACACCGTCCATCCTCTCACTGAGATGAGGAACCTAAATAAGCAAACAAACATTCATGGCTATTTAAGTGCCAACACTCGGAATTTCAATGCACGTGCTGGGAAAGGTGCAGTGTCAGCATCTAGACTGCCACATAAATAATAATAAGAAATTAGTGCATTCACCTGGGTGTCACATTTCCATCACTGCTGATCAGAGCCAGTTGCTGATAAAAATGTGTCTCCTGCAGAGTCAGTTGACCTGGGAGTGACTACTGATTGTATCTATTCCCATTGCATACAAAAGCCACATTAGTTGTTTTATTTGATCTTGACCTTTGGAGAAGGCTTTTCAGATTCAAACTACTTCGCTACTTCAGAAGACGAAGAGAAAGAGAGTGTGTGGAGCCCTGATATACACACACACACACTTTGAAGAAACAAACAGCCTTAGGTATCAAGCAGGCAGAGTGTTTTCTTTTAGAAGTTTTTTTGCCTTGTGCCAAAATCAATGTGTCTTGTGCTCATCTCATATTTGTCATACTTCAGTATTTGCCTCACCCAAAGTAGATATGGTTGACCTGTTGTTTTTGACCTGACGTTTCTTCTTTACCCACAGAGATGTGAGCTGTGTCCCCACAAAGATGGAGCCCTAAAGAGGACAGACAACGGAGGTAGAACCCCTCAAGCTGCACACACACACACACACACACACACACACACACACACACACACACACACACACACACACACAAGCACACAAGCACATCTGTGGTTTGCTTCTTGTGTATTTTGTCATCAATTGCGTGTCACTGGCAAGTTTAAGGGGTGTGAGCGTGCTGGGAGAGTTATGTTGCTGTTTGTTGTGTGCGCTGCCTCTCTGTACCGTCCTTGCCAGTCCGTGTTTTATGAGAGTGTGTGTGTATGTTTATGAGGGGGCGGGCCAGGATGGGTATAGTGCATGGCCTGTGAGGAGTCTCCTCTCTGGGTTCATCGGGAGGTCAGCTTGGTGGAGACTGTAAATATTCTGTGAGTGTGTGTGTGTGTCGGTCAGAGAGAGAGGCACAGCTGTGGGATTGTGTCCAGGCCTGCAGGGAGGCATCAGGACAACACTAACACACACCGTTTTACTACTTTCTCTTTTATTTTACCCTTCCCATGACCCCTCTCTCCCCCCCTCTCTCTCTCTCCTTTTTCCTCCCATCTTTCTCTCACCATCTTTTTCCCCTACCGTCCGTTTCTCCACTCTTGTCAGTTCCTCGCCACTTGTTGATCTGTGTGCGAGTTGCTGTTATTTCAGGTGGGAGAGTAATAAAGCGGAGCAAAGGGATTAGTCTGAAATGGGTATTTCATCCAGTGTCTTAATGTGTAAGAGGCAGAGAAGGAAGAAAGAGGAAGAAATTAACACTACAGCTGCTCATCCTGACCTTTTACGGTCTCTATAATACACATTGGTGCTTTCCTTATAGAATGAGTTTAAACCTGATAACTTAGAAAGTCAAACAAAGTCTATGTATTTGGCAGCAATATTTAAATTTAAAATTAGCATCTTGTTGTACTTTTGTAGTTTCCCTGTATATATTGTTTATTATCTGCAACAATAAAAACCACAGTAACCCCAAGTTATTTGATGTCATGGTTTAAACATGGTTTACCATAAAAGCTCATAAAGCCATTATCAAAAGTAAATGTCACTTTGCCTAATTTTTTTCGTCAATCAATCATTTAAAATTATCTATCGGCTGAATACAAGTGTGTCAACACATTTGGTTTGGATAACTTCTTGGAACAAGAAGGGAAGTTCTGCTACATTTTCGTTGGCAAAAATTGTGAATGCTTACTTTGAGGAGGAAGGCTATGCCACTTTTATAGTCCTGTTTTATAGGCCTCTTCCAGATTCTTGGAGGGACTTCAAAACAACAACATGCCCCCCGTTTCACACCCATTCCCTCCCCCTCCGTCCCGCCCTCTGCACTTCTCCCCCTGTCCTGCTCACCAGGTCAAAGGCAGGTCAGGGGTTCAACTGTAAGTTTAAGCCTGTTTTTGTTGCCGCTATGGGGGGAAAAAACAGACACCTCCAACATGGCGGGAGACTCCCACTTCCATTTGACCTCCCGTTCACCTCCTCCGGCTCCTCCTCAACCCGTCGTCAATTCTGCTTGCCACTCCGCCATGCCCTGCTGTCATTCTCCCGCCCCCAGTTTGTCTTCTCTGACAGGCAGCTGTGCGCGTGTCAGGGCTCAATAAATGGCTACTTAGATAGATTAACTACCATTTACAAATTAAGGCATTTGACGTTCAAAGTAGAATTTGATGAGTTACGGCTTCAAAGAATTTGCAGAAAAATGCATATTTTTTTACTTACACACAGCTGATAAAATTCTGTAAGTGATGTATGGAGCAGTATTCTTCAGGTTATGTCCCTCATATTTTCATCACTGAGTTTTATCGTAGCTCACTGTTAAAACTTGCAACCTACAAATCAAATGTCACTTTTCGAGAACTATTCAGCTTTATGAGTCTTTATATAAACTGTGATGTGTCTACACAAACATTGTTTTGCTGCCATGATATATATGTTAGTTATAATTTGTTTGTGTATTTGCAAAGGCTGATGCAGTTGTTCTTGTCTTTGCAGGCTGGGCCCATGTAGTTTGTGCCCTTTACATACCTGAGGTGGAGTTTGCTAATGTTTCAACTATGGAGCCCATAGTTCTCCAGTCTGTGCCACATGAGCGCTACAACAAGGTAACATTTATCTGTGCTTTTTGACATGTCAGAAAAACACATGTACAATGCAATTAAGAGGAAACTTTGAAAAAAAACCATGCCCTCTAACTGTATGTGTTTGCTTGCATGTCTGTGCATAGACATGTTATATATGTGAGGACCAGGGCAGAGAGAGTAAAGCAGCCACTGGAGCCTGTATGACCTGCAACAAACACGGCTGCAGACAGGCCTTCCATGTCACATGGTGAGACCTGTTCCAATTACATTAACCTCCCTTATAAAAAAAAGGGGATTGTGTCTTCCAATACTTACTGCAGATTCATGTAAAGTCTTATAGATTTGATTTGTTACCAGGTAATAAACCTTTGAGATACCATTACATATTACTTGTTCCAGGGGTTTACCTGCTGAAAAATGATCCTTGTTGTGTTCCGTGTTGCACATAAATGTCAAAAGGTTTTTCTTTTCTGATTGTCATTCATCTACATCACTTTGCCACAGCGCCCAGTTTGCAGGGTTGTTATGTGAGGAACAAGGATCGGATGCAGACAACGTCAAGTACTGTGGATACTGCAAATACCACCACAGCAAATTGGTAAGTGTCTGAATTCTCTCCACATTGCATTTCATTTCAATAGTCTAAACTACCATTTCACAAATCACCAGACAGTGTTTCATTCTTCTTAAATGGAAAATTCCATAGCCTTAACATGGAGACAAATTAGATTTACATTTGTAATTTGATTTGATTTTAAGTTTAAAAATGTTTAGAACTTGACTGTAAAAGTTGTGTTTTTCTAAATATGATAGCTTAAATGTGTTTAACATTATAGCCTGAGTCTAATAATCCTAAGAATTTGGTATTGATCCCAGTTTCATGTAGGTTAAATGAAACCCCTCAGACTGGTGTGGTGTGTGCACTGAGGGCTTGTGATTGTATGCACATATATTTGAATCAGGGATGATTCTGTATATGTCACACACACACACACACACACACACACACACACACACACACACACACACACACACACACACACACACACACACACA